GGAGCTGTCACCAACCCTTGCATTGGAGGACGCGCCAGAGAGGGTGGACGAGGTGCGATCGGACGCTGCATTGACGGATTCGTCCTGGATTGAGAGCTCATTGAGTGCGATATCGATTTGGGACATGCGAAAGGGATCAGAATTGAGACCAGAGAATGTGAGTACACCCTTTATATCCCAGCTGACAGCCCCACTAAAAATTTGTGCATCCGAATCAGGTAAAGCTCCCTTTCCCTCTGGCAATCGCGATATCGAATCTACGCCCTGAGCCTCAAGATAAGCTTTCAAGGGTTCCAGATGAGAACACTCGGAGTAAGGTAACCATGTCGTGTCACCCGCTTTCCATTGGAGCTGAAAGTAAGCAGATGAAGCCCGTCCTGAATGAGTGACTACCCGCTCGACTTCCCATTCTGAAGGATCACGATCTTCAGATGCCTGGATAGCCTCAAGAGAACGATTCGGAAAGCGGCGGTCATCGTTAGGAATGTGAACCCGCAGCAATGAAGCATGGAATTTGGGGATGATCCCACGTCGACGTAGTTCAGAAGGTATGTTGACTTCGAACGTCACGTCGCCCAAGGCCTTGACAATACGATAGGGGCCAATATACTTAGGTACAAGCTTACGAGCGCGTCCTTTTGGAATTTTCAAGTTCTGTGTTGAAATGTAGACCAAGTCGCCAACAGTAAAAGGTACCGGCCGTCTCTTTTTGTTTGCGAGACGTGTCTGCTTGACGCGCGCTGCCAGGATCGCATCGTGAGCTGTTGTTAAAGCATCCTTTACTCGCTGCGCAAAGACACGGACACCAGGGTATTCCGTTGAACTATTCCAAATCAAGGTGCGAGGCATTCGGCCCGCGTTCAGAAAGAAAGGAGCAAACTCTGTTGTCTCAGAACGCGCATTGTTTATTGCAAATTCAATACCAGGTAGCTTATTCACCCAATCCTTCTGAGAAGGAGAAATTGATAGGCGAAGCATCTGCTCCATAGTCCGGTTAGTCCGTTCTGTCAGTCCATCCGTTTCCGGGTGGTAGCTGGAAGACAACCGAAGCTCAACACCAATCATCTTGTGCAAGCTCGACCAAAATGTGCTTGTGAACAGGGAGTCACGGTCACTAACAATAGCCTCAGGCAGACCGTGTAGCTTGTATACATGGTCAAAGACCAATTCCGCAATATCTTTGGCCCGATAGGTCTGTTTCGAAGGCACAAGATGCACCATGTGAGTTAGATGGTCAATAATGACCGCGATCATGTCGAATGACCCCAACCGATTTGTAGATTCAGGGAGTGGACCCACGAAATCAATCCCTATTACTTGCCAGGGGTACGTGGGCACCGGTAAAGGTCGAAGCTCGCCATACTTTTTCTGGGTGCGAGGTTTCACTTGATGACATGTCGGACATGACTCACAAAAGGCACGGATATCCTGCTGCATGGATTTCCACCAGACATTGTCCCGCAGATAATGTAACGTCTTGCGGGCTCCAAGATGCGCAAGAATTGAATGTGCGTGCGTTATCACAATCTCCCGTACATTACGAGAGCCAATTTTGACATCGGGAATGCACAGAACACGGCGATCACTCTCGTTTAAGAAAACAAGATCGTCGACCACTTCAAAATTCTTGTAAGTGTTCGGTGCCGCAATAACTAGCCCAAAGAAGGGATCATGAACATATTGTCCCCTTAGACAGTTCGGAAAATCCAACTCAGGATTCCCAGCAGAAATGATATTCTGCAACCGAGGCGCAACATGATCCTCAAGCTCCTCTTCTGGTGTCTGCACAGTAACCAGATCGGGATTAGGGAGAGCCGGGGAATCCTTTGCTGATGACTCTGAGACCCGTTTCCCAGTCTTCCCAGGTACGCCCTCCATCCGAGGCAATAAATTCCCATTCTTATCCCGGACTCGTAGGAAAACACGGGGCTGAGCTGTTGATGTGGATGCATCCTCAAGCGTCGAAGCCATACTTGCCATCGCAGGATCCCCGGTGTACACAGGACAAGAAAACAGGGTAATAGCTTCTAATGCCTGTCGTGTTTCCTCATCATCTACAGCAATGTATTCCGAGGGGGCACGAATAACCCCTGGCGGTTCAGAGCTGTAAATCCGAGATAGCGCATCTGCAAATATATTGATTTCTCCAGGAATGTACGTGATCGTGAAGTCAAATTCACTCAAGACCTCGACCCAACGAGCTTGCCGAGGTGAAAGATGCTTTTGTGTCATAATAAACTCGAGTGCCTTATGGTCGGTGAAAATACGGAAGTGAGTGCCATGTAAGATATTTCGAAACCGCTTCAAGGATTCCACAATGGCTAACAACTCCTGTTCATGGACAGGATAGTTTTGCTGCGTTGTTGTGAATTTCCCGCTCCAGAACGCAGCAATTGGAGCTGTCCGAAAATCCTCACCCTGCGAAACACAACCACTACCTCCTGAAGTACAAGCATCACAAATCAGGTTGATGGGTGGTTGATCTGGGCCATACGCCAGCGTAACACGGTGGTGGTCCCGCCAATCCTGGATCAGTTGCTTAACCTCATTGAAAGCACGATCAGCAACTGCTGTCCATCGCCAGGGTGTTGACGGCGCTGTAAGATGCTCGAGAATTCCCATTGGAATACGTACACCAGGTAAGTCATTCGCGAGGTATCCAACTGAACCAATGAATCCGCTAAGCAAAGACTTTGTAGTAGGGGTCTTCCAGTTTAGAACCTTGTCCACCTTAGCCGGATCCATGCAGATACCATTATCGTCGATTACATGTCCGAGAATACTGATCTTGTCTGCAAAGAACCGAAGCTTCTTCTCACTCAGATAGAACTTCTCACGACGAAGTATATCAACGACAGTTTTAACAGCTACCACATGGTCCTGTGGTGAGTCCGAATAAATGACAATATCATCAAGGTAGACATCAAGGAAAACCCCAATGTACGGTGAGAATAGGTGGTTCATCAATGCCATGAATGTAGCAGGAGCGTTACAATCTCCTTGCTGCATTACTAAACTGACCATCGTACCATCAGGTGTGTTCATAGCTGTACGGCTGACATGCTCTGGGACTACACGAACTTGCTCGTAAGCATCCTTCATGTCGATGACACTCCGATATTTGTGCGAGAGCACATTCCGCAGAATTCCATCTATATCAGGCATCGGAGAAGCCACTTTCCGTGTATTGGCATTCCGTTCCCGAGAATCCGTAACTGTTCGCAACTGAATTGACTTATCCTTTGTAGGTTTACGAAGCATCAACATGGGCATGGCATTAGGAACACTTCGAAATTCCCATCTGCCTGAAGCCACATATGCATCCCTCTTCTCACGCCATAAAGGCCGTAAGGCATCCGGACAACGTGAGGGACGCCATGAGTAAGTCAACTCCTCATCCTTCAAAGGAATAGTATGATTAATTGCACGCAAAGGAGGTAAAGGAGTGTCTTCTGCAGACTTGCAAATATCTATAGTGTACTCATGAAGATCCCGACGTAAAGATTCAATGAAATTATCATTTTCCATCTGAACTGCACTCGACGATATCAATATTACATTGTCGCCTTCCAGCGGGAGACATTCACGACTGCCAATCCCTACACGAAACGGATTAAAACCCATAACAACCTGGTGCTGGAAAAGAAACGGCGTTCCGAGCATCATGTCATAACCATCAATGTTCATTACGTCAAAATGGCGTGTCTCACAAATATCCTGGTAAGAGATCTCTGCTTCGACCGAGTAATTAACCTTTGTCAGGGAACCTGTCACCGCAAGACGAACATTCATCGGCTTGGCCAAAGGCACCTTTTTAAGCTTAAGCAAGTCAACAACAGCTGAGGATATGAAGTCTGCCCGAGAGCCAGTGTCAAGCATTGCTCTCAGGACTGTTCCATTTACGACTACTGGAACTGTAGGTACCCACGGAGCCTTGCGCGTAAAGTCTTTTGGATTCGCAGCAGTCCGTTCCAAAGGCTCACTCGGTTGGTCCTTTCTCTTTCCCTTTCGCGATGAAGATGGTGCTGCAGCTGCAGAACAAAAATTCTCGTTTTCGAAGACATAAGAATCCCTTGAACCATCAGCTGCTGAATCATAGTCAGAGTCATAGCCGTCATCACTATCCTCCGAGTCTGAGACATCCTGCAGATGGGGTGGCTCATCAGAGTCAGAATCAGAATGCCAGGAATAGACATCCCCGTCGTCATCTGGCTCAGAATCGGGCTCTTTCTCTGTATCATTGCCATCATCCTCCGAGTCAGGATGCGATGATAGAACAGTATCATCGACATCATGATCAGAATATGAATCATTGCCATCCTCCGGCCAGTCGGAATTCACATCCAGAGCCTCCAGCAAGGCTGCATTTTCTAAAACATTGCCCGAAGATGGCCATACAGGTGTCATAGGCTGTTCATATCCATCCTGCAGCCATGGCTCAGTACCCGTAAGCATCTGGTCGCAAACCAGAGCCTTACGGCCGATAATCCAAGCAATCAAATCGAAATCAGGGTCAAGCAGCTCTGCACGGCTAACAACATGGTCATCCAGAGTGTGCCAGTCCCAAATAATGAACTCGTCCAAGCCAAAGACATCCATCGAAAATCGCTCTGGACTGAAGGGGCTATTTGCATCAACATTGTAGAAGTCATAGATGAATGGAATACTAGCATAGAGCTGAGAAATGGACCGTTCAATTAATACTCGATCTCGAGCCTCCAAAAATGTTATTGATGGCGTATACCAAGTTACAGGAAGGAAGCCAATATCAGGAATATATTGCCATGGAGGTGGGATAGGTGTAACCGGGCCGTCCCAATGTCGTCCATGGCCAAGTTCAGCCGAAGGAAGGGTCGGAGAAGACTCACGAGCATTTACAGCTGATACACCCAGAAATCCACGAGTATTGGCATCCATAGTGCAGGTCGAAGTCATTTGAAGCCCCGCTGCCGCAGAGCGTAGCGATGAGCCACCTGCCTTATTGAGCCGCTTCTTCCTTGGGCAGTCACGACTCAAATGGCCAGTCTCCTTGCACTCAAAACACTTGTTTGCTGCACGCAGCTCATCCATCTCTTTCTTGGATAGCTGGCGCTTGTTATCACTCTTGGCAGACCCACTGCTCCGGCCATTATTCGAGCCTGAAGCCTGTGGTGGATTCACAGAACCGGTCTTTGCCTTCGACGAAGGATCTTGAGGTTTCGGTTGCCAAGCTGTGAAAGACCTGGGAGATCGGGAATGGTCACGCCGTGAACGGAAAGGTCTGGAATGACGATTCATGGTACGTCCACGCTCTCCATCCCGTTGCCTGGAATCATAATCCCTATAGCGTGCAGCCTCCTGGAAACGAACTGCAGCCTCCTCAAGATCTTCAAACATTGAAATCTCAGCACTATATCCAGTCTCTGCCCATTTCGCTCGAATATAGTCATCTGCTCCCTGCCAAAGGTAAAGCACCAGTTGTCGATCCGGAATGTCACCAACACTATCAGCCAGATTCTGTAATTCAAAGATCCAATCACGAACTGCACGGCCATGCTGCCGGCAATTCGATAAACGGGTCCGTTGGCCAGTACGGAAATTCGGAGGGAAGCAGTGGTCAAAGAGGTGAGTTAGAAATTCATCTAGCTCCCAATTCCGACCTGACATGGCGACTTCGCGCATGAAGAAGGCTGCTGCTTTCCCAGACAAGAAGTGCTGAAGCTTCGGTACACGCCGCATCTTCTCGATGTAGACAGTCTTGAAGTAATCTGTCACCGAATATAACCAGCGTTGGAACACATCAAACTTCGGGGAGCCATCATATTTCTCGGGCAAAACAACTTTCTCATTCCCGAGTTCTCGTTTGCGGTGAGCCCTCTGTTTCTTGTATCGCTTCTTCTTCTCCCGTTTCCTCCTCTTAGTTGAATCTGAGTCTGAGGAGTATACAGAAGAGGGTTCAGAGATAGTAACATCTGAGTCATAGCCCATCCCCACAGGAATTTGTGAACTGGAAGGGGTATGCGAGGTACGAGTCCCTGACTTTTCATCCAACGCTTTTGACCCCATCAATGTCTTGTAGACAAAGCCATCATGCGGGAGCTGGTTCGAAGCACGACTAGACTGCACAACAACTGGCTGCATGGTCCTACCACGTTCCCTATCCTGCAGCCCGTGCAACGATATCAGCTCCGATGTTCAGTGAACGACTGGTGGAGGAGGCTTTGCTGCGAGCTCGCCGAGCATCCTCAATATGGCGCGCAAGGCGAGCCTCTGCTTCCTTATGCTTAAGAGCAGCCTCTCGTTGAGCAGTTTCGATTTCCTTAGCAAGCTGCTCATCAGCCGCCATCTGTGCCTTGCGCCATTCGATGTCATCATCATCCTCAATGTCCTCAACATTGACAGCCCACTTCCCCTTTTTACCATATGGAATCCTATCCTCTGAGGTGTCCACACTGCCCTCCAGACTCTTGTTCACCATCGAGGCCTGCAGCATGACAATCAACAGACCCGGATCTCATTGGCGAGGCCATCCGTGAAGGGCTTCGTTCCACAGAGCTGTCAAACCCAGGTGTGTTTCGTGTCTCATGCTTTTGAGTAACACGATTAATGAAACCTTGGACATCTTCCGGGGACATATGGTTGTAGAAAAATTGCATGTAGTTGTCCTCGGAGTTATCAGGCTCATCAAAACTTAGGTGAGGAGTAACCTCTTCCTCACGTACCCTTGTATCATGACTAGGTGTCTCAATGATATTGATTTCCTCATCCCCGTAATCATCGTCTGAACCACAATCAAATTCGGGAGGAAAAAATAAGGGTCTATTAGTCAACGTATGGACAGGAGTACGACGAGGCGAGTGGGAAGCCGTACGACGACGATGAGGAACAATGAAGTCTGCGCTATCAACGTCATGCGCAACGTCCATGGCCTCTCGTGCCGTGCCAGGTAAAGACCAGCGCCTGCGTGCACCCCCTAAACGGCCATCACTCCTAGCATCGAGCTCAGCCTTGAAAATATAGCTAGTATCCTCACGCTCCATCTGCTCTTCAATACCAGCAGGGGCGGAGACGCTCAACCGTTCTTCCTTCACGGGAGCTTCATCATTACGCCTCGACCATCCTAGGACGGGAGCGGAGTCGATGTCCCCGACAGTGCCAGGGCTAGGACTCGATGACCTCGACTGCCTGGAAGCAGGAGCTTCCTGGTCCACGGTATTACCACCAACAGTACCAACGCTGCCAGCAGCCGCGGCCCCAGGGGATGTTGTGAGTGAAACAGGAGTAAGAGAAGAATTTGACAACGCACCCATCCTACCAGACACATTCGGCGTGCTGGTAGCAACAACCTGAGCATAGGTTAACGGAATCGATGGTGTCGTTGTCGTGGTGATGACTCTCGAGCGGAGAGTCCGAACGTGAACGTTGTTGGGAACGTTGGCGGCCATTCTGGTTGATCAGACCGTAGGAGTCGCCAAAGAAACGAGTTGAGAAAAAAAAAGCTAGAGAGTAAAAGAGTTCAAAAAATGTAACGCCAGATGACCGAAGCCAAGTGTCGCTACACAAAGTGAACTTGCGGAGAGAAGCTTAGCGTCACGCGAGAGAACTAGAACAACTCTCGTTAAGTCCAAGCCGTCCTACTAGTGTACAAAGCGTCGTATATATACTGTAGCAAAGAATATATAAGGAAATGGTACAATAGGTACAAGCAAAGCTGAGTAAGTGCTGAGTCTCGAGGATGACGAGAGACGATGAAAATCCCTACATCACGTCATGAGTGCACGGAGGAAGATCGCCCTATTCTTGCCGCGTGGCTATTCGTGCCTTGCTCCCGACCATCATGTTTGCTGCAAAATCACCGCCGAAAGGGAAAAACAAGGAAGAATGGCACATGGGCTGGTGGGATTTTCAGCCACTGGTCGAGAAGCTTACCCCAAGGTCAGTGTTTCCTGTATATGCGACAGTTTGCATTTGAACTCGTCGATAGACGCGCAGAATGGTCGAATTCTTCTGTCATTTTTACTCCGCATCCAACTCAACCAACGATTCTCGCGCGTCATTTCTCGTCATCCAAGCAGTTCAACATTCCTTCGCCGGCACCGATTCTCGCAGCTTTGACGGACTTTGACCCTCCGACTATCATCTCGGCCTCTCCCAACGACGACTGGCTGTTCGCGTACTTTCCAGGACGAGGGGTCCCTGGTGCTGGGTGTCTCTGGTTTCGTGGTCCTGAGATTGATAACTGGATACTCAAGGACTACTGGACGCCGCCACTGGGTGCTGGGGTTGTCACAGCAAGTTGGTTGGGCGCACCGCGTGAAGTACGTGATGCATGTATTATACTGACTAATAATGACGAACGATGGTATTTAGTGGACCGCTGATGAACATGGATCGTTTCTTCGTCTTCCTACTCGTGGCCCAAAAACTCCGGTATCCTATCCCACTTTGGCGCTTGTCACACAGAACCATCAATTGACTTTGTGTTACGTGCGAAATTATATCCCTTCTCTCAAGATGTTTTCCACTCCTCTGAATCAGTATAGCCTTGTCAACGAGAATTCATCCATGCCGACACCTGAAGCTACTGACAACGGTGGCCTTTTGAGACTGTGTGTCACGGCAGCGATCGGTCTCGGATATGACGGCGCGTTTTTAAGCTTTCTGTATCAATTATCTTTCTAAAGTGTATATATCTCCAGAATCCTCAATTCTTGTCGCGACTCGTTCCCATATTATACCTTTACCTCCTAGAACTCCGGATACCGATCAATTTGACATGAATATGTCCCTTGATTTTGGCCAGTCAAATGCTGAATCTACAACGCATTCTGAAGAGATATATGGCGAAGAATCTATCATTGAAGTTTCCGAGGTCCGTCTCCAGTTTGACGGCATCATGATGCGTAAGTCTACTGTCATCATACTTTCTACCACAGCGACTTCAGCTACAAACAGGTCTATCGACGCAACCACTGCTTCCTATACAAAACTGGGAATCACAGCTCACCAATCTTGTCTTCGTGTGCAAAACCCCGTCTGCCCCTGAGCTAGGAGTTGCCCAAATGAAACCAAGGCTGCTATGTACTTGGTAGCTAGTTTTTTGGATTTTGGTGACTGTAAGTGTTTTCTTAGTTTGAATACGCAACTATTAACGTTTTCTTGTTAGACTCGAATTTGCCTCAGTCCAAAATAGTATGCTACTCTATGTTGCGTCATGCTACACCCGATACCAAGCAATCCGCATGGGTAATGGATCATTTTTTGGTTAATGATGTTGCTACTGACTTCTTCGCAAGTCATGTCACCAGGCCGGTACAAGGACGTATACGGATGGCGTTCTGGGCTTTCTCGTTCCTACCAAGCCGTTGCAAGGTGTCGATGCTAGTTTACTCGTCGGCATACTAGATACGTCAGGATCCTTCCTTGCTGGGAAGACCAAAGACAAAGAGGTGCGAATCGGTATGACTACAATTCTGGAGATGTACGCCACCTGTCTTTCTGGGTTTATCGATCACTGAGGCATGAACATCAATAGTCCCACATTGTTTGAATACGATAAAGAATGGGAACTCTCTCCCATTTTCACGTCGGCTACCAAGGTTGGAAAAGAAGGTTCGCTGCTATTCAAATTGCTTGCTTTCGGTCATTGATCATTGTTCAGTCCCGATCCATGCCGTTCTCTCGCCCAACGAGATGTTGCTATGCACCGTTTCATCAATGGTAAGGGCTACACAAACCTCTGTACATACGGTCCCGATACGTCGCGCATCGAGAGCATTCAAGGCTGGGTTTCCATCTATTCTTCCACTATCTTCCGGTCTTGCCTCGGCAATTCTATCACGAAGAAGTACAGCAGATTTCACACACTTACTTTCCCTTTCGACAATGCCGATGGAAGAAGTTAGCCACATCTTATTTCAGGTGTTGACTATTGTGGAAACACAGTCACGCAGAAAGCTGGGTACGCTGACTTGGCAGACTTTGGGTGTTGCTTTGGAGATTTATAGGTTCGTAATTCAGCGACTGTCTAACTTTACTCTGCTAAATCCTATTCAGGCTTCGAAGTTTACGGGCAAAGGACGAAAATGCCAGGAATAATTTGAATGCACGTTGGCAAACTGCGCACGACCTGTGCTCACTGGCAGCTTGCAATGCCGCATTTGAAGACTGTAAGGACAACGACGGGCCTGATTTTCGTGCGTAGCCGTCATGTTTCAGTGACCTCATCATGACTGTCTCTTGGCAGGCGCTGTTTGGCAATTTATAGGAATCTGTGGATGGGTTGTAAACTTCATTGAGAAAGTCATGAAAGAAGTCATGTTAATCAATTCAACAAGCAAACCATCGAGCGAAACCGATGATCTCTTCGATGCAGAATCTCGTAAGCTGTTCCCCTGAATGTATGCCTATTTTCGTTTATCTGCCTACAGCTGTTTCAACCGACCACTACGAGGTTCCCTGCCTTCTTCACATTGTGCATCCTCGTGCACTAGTGAATTTGAAACAAGCGTTAAGCAATGTTCGTAGTTTCCGGAGCAGCCTTGGTTCAATCACGGCACGGGGTGAGAACTCCCAGATTGCCAAAGATGTCCTGGTTGATCTGGTTGATTGTTCGGGCGTTGATCTCAACGCTTTGGATCCCTTATTGGATGAGTTCATACTGAAGTCAAAGGATATTGAAGGTAAGAATTCCGGGGCAGTCATAGTTTACAGAAAGGTGATCGTGCATTCCCAGTTGAAGAGACACGACGAAGTTTCGCTTCATGCGAGCCTACGATCTCAATGGAGCCTCAATTACAAGCAAATGTTAGACGGTTATGCGAGTCGGGAGTTATCTCAAAATCACGACTATACATCAAGCCTCACGAGTTGATAGACGGATTCGAGAATCTCAGCTTGGAAGGTCCTCGGAAGGAGCAGGATAAAGATGTCGTCTCGAAAGGAGTGCTTATGAAGAGGCAACTTTGTGTGCAATGTCTTCGATGTGATGGTCTCTCAGAAGCTGCAAAAGATGCGCCGAGGTCTGCAAAGGATGCACAGAGGTCTGGAGCTAGTTCCTCTGATCGTTGGAGAACCTGGGAGAGGAAATGGGTACCTGGGTGCGTTTGCGGGGGTTCATGGTTAACAGCAAAAACATGAATAGTATCTGTTGTCATTCGTGATAAAGTCAGATGCATTTGTATGTCTGTATGTAACTTAGAATCTTTCACAGCTTCGACTCACGGCTACTCTCTAAGAGATAATATGATGTCGCCCTTTTCACTTCTTGTAACCACTCTTCGATAACGGTTTTGTCGGTGACATTGTTATCCCAATAGACCACCAATCCGAGCTCGTTTCGAAATGTCGAAGCTCCGAGGTAAATTTCCCCGGGACGACATCGAAGACGTACACCGGAGCAACGTAGGTGGATTCGAGAAGTTTTCCCGCTTACTGGATCCGAAAACTCGTGCGGGAGAAGTTTATCAACCTACTGTCCGGTTAGAAAAAAGAGCGAAGATGCACACCGATGAGACGCACGCTTCCGAAGCTAGAGCCACCGAACGAAGGCACCAGGCCAAACTTTGCCTGATCAATAGCGGAAATAGAGAGATCTTCCTCTTTTGAATATGATGTTTGCGCTTTGGACAACAACTCCTTTAACATCTTGATCATCGGGGGGTAACGAACCGAGCCGATGTCGAGAAACAACGGGTGCTTCAGAAGACTATTGGCGCGTTTTTGCATATTCCTACACCTATACCAAAAGCGTTGACGTGACAAGAGAACGTCAAATG